CAACACTCGCAGCCCGGCCAGGGCCCACGGCACCCGCGCTGAATGTTCGGGATGAAGTCCTCCGGTTCAAGAACCGCCCCCATCCCCCTCGCTGTCTACAAACGAGGAAGCCGAGCCAGGAAAAGAGGTAGCTCAGGTGAGGCGGCAGAGCCTCCGAACTTCGCGGGCAAACTGCTCTGCCCCGAAGGCCTCAAGAACCCAGGAGCGGGGCCACCCTGAGAAACCCACAGCCAACGAGGACCCTGTGCTGTGCCCCCAGGAAGCCGGCCCCTCCGAGCCAGACCCGCGTACACCTCCAGGAAAAAAGGCGTCCCTGGCTGTCCGCAAGCCTCCCTCCCCATCTGGGGGCCAGGGCGTCGCACCCACCCTGCCTAAAAGCTTCCAGCTCCTCCAGCCAAACCTTAGACCAGGGATCGGCAAACTCCCGCCCACGTACCAAATCCCAGCCTGCAGCTGCCCGATCTCAAGAGGCTCGCGAGCTAGGGCAGCGTTTACATTTCCGAGTGGATGAAAACACGTCCAAAGGGGACGCGTAGAAATCGTTTTAAATTCGATCCTCAACGTCTCCACGTGGAGTTTTATCCGCACGCAGCCCGGCCCTCTCCTTTACACACGGTCTACGGCCGCGGCCGCAGGTCAGGCTGCAGCCCCCAGCCCTCGGCCACCCCCGCCGCCGCCATCCCCCTCCCCTGCCCGGCCGCCACTTACTAGGACATGTCCAGCAGCTGATCGAGGTCCACGCCACGGTAAGTGAACTTGCGGAAAGTCCGCTTCTTCTTCTGCTCCACTTCCGCCTGCGCGGGCCGGGATACGGGTGAGCGGGACCCCGAGACCCACCTCCCAGCCTGCGGCGGCATAACCGGGCCCGCGGCTCCCGCCGAGAAACGTGCGGCCCTCCCGGGCACGGAAGCCCACGGGGACGCACCACCTCGGGCCCGTCCCGGGGCGGCCCGGGGCTACGGGGGCTCGGCTGGGACAAGCGGGCCGACACAGGCCTTCCCTGCCCCGGGTCGTTCCGACACCCAGCAGGCCCGCCCCGCGCCCCCATGTCTGGCGGCGATTCCAGAGGTCTGCAAGAGGCTGCCGCAGCCGCGCGGCCCGACCCCGGCCTCCAGTGTGCGGCCAGAGCTCGGATGGCGCCGGATGGGCCCGGAACAGACACAGTAACCGTGACACTCACCATCTGGTCGGCTCTTCAGAAAAGACCGTCCTTTCTTCGCCTGCGCAGTTATCTCGCGGTCTCTCACGTGCCCCGCCCCCGAGCTGCGCGCGCGCGCGCTTCCGCTTTCCCAGCGGAGGACGCGCGCCCTCTGCTGTCTGGAGGGCAGAGCGCTGGCTGCGAGGAATAAAGGAGCCTCTGCCAACCTTGGGTGCTCGGACCCCCCAGGCTGGAGCCGGCCGCCTGGTATTTGGGAGACCCTTCCTCAACTGGGGGACGTGGGACGCGTCGGCGCCCGTTTTGGAAACTCATATTCGTGCTCCTTAATCTCCATAATGAAATCCACGTAAGAAAGTGTTTATGGAGTGCCTGTTTGCAGTAAGCGCGCTGTCTGGGTTCGGGACTGGCCCTCCCCTAGGGAGCTCGCGTCCCAGTGGGCGAGACAGACCCGTAAGAAACAAGGTCATACAGATAATCTGAGCCAAAAGGAAACTCGGGGGGTTGGGACAGTGGCTTTGCACAGATGGTCAGAAAAGGCTTCCCTGATAGGGACCAGCCAGCCTTTAACAGACGAACTTATATCGATATAAAGTAACAACTGCAACATTGCAGTGCTAGGTTTGCAACACATAAGCACGTAATATATATAACAAGAAGAGCAAAGACGGGCCGAGGGATGAGAGCTATATAGGAGTACGCTTTCAATACTCACTGGAACAGGTGTCCATCTGAAGGCAATTCTGGTACATTAAGATGTATTTGGTACCATGTGGCCCAGCAATCCCACTCCTGCGTGCATATCCCAAAGAACTAAAAGCAGGGACTCCAACAGATTTGCACACCCATGTTCACAGCAGCATGATTCACAGTAGCCAAAAGGTGGAAACAACCCAAGTGTCCATCCATGAATGAGGGATAAACACAATGAGGTCCACCCACACAGTGAAATATAATTGAGCCTTAAAAAGGAAGGAAATTTTGACACATGCTACAATGTGGATGGACCTTGAGGACACCAGTGACAGAATCCAGACATAGAAGGACAAAATACTGCATAATCCCACCCATGTGAGGTCCCCAGAGGACCCAAAATCCATAGAGGCAGGAAGTAGATGGTGGGGGTCAGGGGCTAGGAGAGGAGGATGGGGAGTTAAGAGTTTCAGTTTGGGAGGAGAAAGTTCTGGAGATGGATGGGGGGGATGCTGGCACAACAATATGCATGTACTTAATGCCACTGAGCTGTGCGCTTAAAAAGTAGTTAAAAATGGCCAATCTTGTATTTTTTTAATTTTTTTTTTTTTTTGGCTGCGTGGCATGTGGATCTTAGTTCCCTGACCAGGGATCAAACCTGTGCCCCCTGCAGTGAAAGTGTGGAGTCTTAGCCACTGGACCACCAGGGAAGTCCCCTACCAATCTTATATTCTGTCACAGTAAAAAGCAACCCAACAGATGTGTGTGGTAAACTATAGAACCCCTAAAAAACTCAAAAAGCACAATGAAAAAAAGTAAAAGAATTAATTTTCTAGCTACACTAGAAAATAGTCACTGAATGCAAAAGAAAGCCGTAACAGAGGCATACAAGAACAAAAAGACGTGATACATAGAAAACAGTTAAACATTTGGCAGGGGGTAAGCCCCATGAATAGATAGAGGATGCAACCAGCCCTGCAGGGAGGCTGAGGTCCTGGAAGAGGGAGTGAATGTGCAAAGGCCCTGAGGTAGGACTGAGAAGATAAGGGGCTTCCCTGGTGGCGCAGTGGTTGAGAGTCCGCCTGCAGATGCAGGGGACACGGGTTCGTGCCCCGGTCCGGGAGGATCCCACATGCTGCGGAGCGGCTGGGCCCGTGAACCATGGCCGCTGAGCCTGTGCGTCCGGAGCCTGTGCTCCGCAACGGGAGAGGCCACAACAGTGAGAGGCCCGCGTACCGCAAAAAAAAAAAAAAAAAAAAAAAGAAGATAAAACAAGAGAAAAGGCCAATGCCCTCCCCTCCCCACCCCCGCCACATGACTCCACCGCGCCTCACTCAGTTTGCGTGTGGGGCACGAGGTGACTTGTCTCCAGCCCCCTACCGACGAAGTGGCTTTGGGGGGAGCTGGGGCTGGCCTGGAGGGGACAGGAAGTCTGAGCCCTCCTCAGCCATTTCCACAACGGGGTGGGGTGGGGGGGAGCTAACCAATTAGGCTTCATGCAAAGAAGGGGACGTCCCTCCGTGCCCCAGTGGGGTACAAGCACTGTGTTTGGGACTGCAGGAAGTGCCTATCAGGGTGTGAAGGTGCGAAGCGGGCTTGCCCAAGTTTACGGAGGCAAACGTGGTCCTGGGAGCTCCTGGCTGGCTGGAAAGGGTGCCGATGACTGCACGGCACCCTTTGGCCAAGACACTGTAATTCTGCAGAGAATTCATCTTGCTGATGTAAGGAGCTAACTTTTAACAATGCGACAACACGCGGTGGAGACTGGAGGGTGCGGGCACAAGGCTCCCCACTCTGCCTGACCCTGCTGCTTCTGTGAACCGGAGGGATGGGAGGAGGAGGGGTGCAGTCATGGAGGGTCGTCTTGGGTCTGGGGCAGAAGATGCCCGTTTCACTGGCTTTCTGGGCTGAGCCAAGCTTCCCTTCCCCCGCAAAGCGCACTGGGCTGGGGCTCTCGGGCTGTCTAGTTCACTGCATTCTCAAGCCTGGCACACTGGAGCCATCCAGGATTTATGTTCTGAAATCTTGATTGTTGTTTTTACAACAGAACGGCCCCGTCACTTCACGTGGCAGAGGGGACTCTGCAGGTGGGAACTCGTCCCACCCCTCCTCCCTGGCCCCCAGGTTCCCTCTGCATCTCTGGGATCCCCCTTTGCTGGGACTCGAGCTGCTCCACTGCCCAGGCCTGGCCCTGCCTCTCGGGCCCTGTGAACAACAGCTGGGCCCCACCAAGTGCCCACCATGACGACCTTCAGCTCCCTGAGTTGCACCCCACCGGCCCTGAACTGGGGGTGCCGACAGCACCCCCTCCCATGTCCACGGCCCACTTCGTGGAAAGATGAGCAGCCTGCCCAAGGCCACAGTCCAGGTGTCACTCCCGCAGGGGCGGGGGTGGCCTGGCCAGCCCCACCCACGTGTGTGCAGACATCTCTTCCTCGGGGCCCGGCAAGTGGCCTCTGAACCCTGGGACCCAGGGTCCCTCACAGTGCGTCTGCAGCTCTGACCAGCGCCCCCCCCGCGCCGCACCAGACCAGATCCCCCAAAGCCCCAGACCAGCCAAAGAGGGCCCGGGCTCCCAACACGGAAAGGGGCTCCTCTAAGCAGAGCGAATAACAGACACAGCGTGGGTTTCTAATCCAAACGCACTTTCTTTATTCAAACCGGTCAGCGGGGACGCCCTAAAGCCCCAAGCGCGGGAGATGGGCTGGCCCGGCCTCCTCCTGGTCCTTGACGCCAGAGCGGACGCAGGCGAGCGCGGCCCCACGGCACACCTGCAGACATGGCCAGGCACGCCAGTCGACAAAAGCAAAGAATAAACAAAAAACAAAACACACTCAGTAGATTTCTTCTTTAAGCTCCCAGAGTTTCTGGACCAACGAGTCCCAACCCTCAAAGCCAGGAGTGAGGGACTAAAAACGCCCCTCACCTCCACCAGTGCCGACAGAAACCCTGTTTTAAATTAAAAAATAAGCGAGTATACATTGTAGAAAATTTCTCTTAAAAATCTCACAATTTGTAAATGTATATTTTTTTCTTTAACATAAAAGTTTACAATATACGGTAAAATAAAGGCTCAGGAAAATAATTGCAAAAAAAAGGAAGAAAAAGAAACCTGACGTTTTGAATTAAAGCTGAAGAATCTTTTTAACCCTGTTGTTGAACCAGTGACTTTTTTATTGAGCTGATGGGTTAGAGAAATAATACGTTTAAAAACTTCGGTCCAGATGCCCACAGCCACCGCCAGAAGCCCCCCACGCTCCAGTTGGTATTTTCCCCAAGTTTGTGATTGTCACGAGTTCACAAGTTTGAATCCTGGCCTCAGCTGCCTGACATCCTCAAGGTACTGCGGCTAGCGTCGGTAGGGGTGGAATCCTTGTACATTGTGGTTCTGACCGCGTCCAAAGCCACTTCCGCCGGCGGGGGGACCCCCCGAGCCGGGCACTGAGGGGCCCCCGTAGGAGGGGGGCTGCTGGCTGGGGTCTGAGAAGCCCTGTCCGAAGCCCGCCAAGTCCTGTCCGTAACCTGCGGGGAAGGGCTCAGTGAGTTGGGACCACTTCCGCTCCCACTGGCACCCACGGCCAGGGCCCTGCGCGGGGCAAGGCGTGGACCCGGAGGGTGGAGGGCCCACCTGGGAGCCTCGGCAGGACCCTGGGCAGCTGTCTCGCACAGAAAGTAAAGCAGCTCCGAGACCCCTCGGACCCCTCGTCTGTCCTGTCTGCTCTCAGCCCCTTTCCCCACTCACTGCCCTGCCCTCACGGCCGGAGAGCCCCTTGATCCTGGAGACACAGATTATCTGGCCTGCCTTGGTGGACCACAGGCTTCTAGAAAGTTTGTCCTCGGGTGGACCACAGGGTGGACTCAGCACAGATTTCAGGATGGGAGGAAACATGACAGGCCAGCCTGAGGTACAGGTACAAAGCTTGGCCCTGACGGTGCTGCCTACACAGCCCGTCCAGGTCGGGCAGCCCCTCCTCCAAGCGGGAGCAGACCCGCACCATGCGCGGCGGAGGGGGCCGTCCCGGGGGCCCAGACGCCCACCGTGCTGCCCCATGGAAGGAGAGCTCGGGGCCAGCGGGGTGGTGGCTGGCCAAGATCCTTGCCCCGGCAAGGGCCCGTCCCCGAGGGCACCGCCGAGTCCACCCCCGCCCAGGATGGCAGAGGAGGCGACATCGTGGCCCGGGTGCAGGCAGTGGGGACCGTGGAGGAGGAGGCGCCACCTACCTAGGCCACATCACTGCTCAGCCTGACCATAAGAGTGTAAACAAAGTGAGGGCCGAAGCCTGGCGGCTCTGGAGAAGAGGTACCCAGGCCTGGCAAGAGACGAGACCAGGCTGACTGCCCCAGGCGGCCTCGGCAGAGGAGCAGGGGCGGGGAGGGGCACACGCGCTGTTGCTCGCACACCCCCACCGGGGGCCGGCGACCCCACACCCGCCACCACCGCCACGTCCTGCTCCGGGTGAGGCGAGAACCCACATGCTCAGGGACTGCGGCCGGGCAAGGCCCCCAGGGGAACAAGAGCGTGCAGTGTAGGGGGTGCTGGGGGCATCTGTTCAGCGCCAGCAGAGCCCCAGGCCCACCCTGTCCCCACAGGAGCTCCTCTGATGGGTGCAGGCCCCGGGCTCCACCATCTACCTGGCAAGCACCCTTGGGGACGCACAATGCTGACGTCGCACGGCCCTCACACCCGCCCTGCGCTCTACAAACCCAGACACCCAAGGTGGCAGGGCCCACCGGGGCGCCCCCAGGCACAGGCCCCGGACGTCTGGCAGCCGCGGATGCTCCTCCGCGCCAGCGCCCTGGCCGAGACCCCAGAAACCAAGCGCCTGCTTCAGGCCCGCTCGAGCCTGGGTTTCTCGAGCTCTCCTCACAGCATGTGGATGCGGGGAGCGAGGCACTCACCGTACTGGCTGTACGGGAAGTCGGGTTGCGCCGATGGCGGTTTGCTCATGTCCGGGGCGGCCTGAGACGGAGGTGGCGGGAAGGCCAGAGGTGCAGCCCCTGGAGTGGCCGGTGGAGGGGGGACCCCCGGGGGGGCGAACTGATCCGGTGGGGGAGGTGGAGGCCCGTAGCCAAAACCTGCAGGCAGACAGGAAAGACAGACACAGACGCGGTGCTCGCCCTCGGGGAGCCGCCCAGACCACCTCCACCCCAGTAGCCAGGACCTGAGGACGCCCACAGGCCGGGCCCACAGCCGAGGAAACGACCCCCGCCGGGCAAAGCCCGACCAGCCGCCAGCCTGGCAGCACACGCCTAGTGGGGCGGGGCCACAGCCCGGGTGGCCCTGGGAAGGCGGGAAGTCATGAGCTGTCCATGAAGGGCGC